CGAATGTGGGGGTGTCTTGCTAAAGTTGTGGTGCCTCCTCCTAAGAAGGTCAAGATTGGACCTAAGACAGTTGATTGTGTGTTCATTGGTTATGCACAAAATAGTAGTGTATATAGGTTCCTTGTGCATTATTCAAATGTACTTGATATTCATCCGAACACGATTATGGAGTCTAGGAATGCACAATTCTTTGAGAATATATTTCCTTGTAAATCTCCTAAACAGTTAACTCCTATTAAACGGACAATGGAATCTTCTGCTTCTGGCAACAGTAAAGATCCAGTTGAAGAAGGTGAGGATGAGCCTAGACGGAGCAAAAAGACCAAAACTTCTAAGACGTTTGGCCCTGATTTTCTCACATATTTGATGGAGAATGATCCTCAAAGCTATAAAGAAGCTATATCTTCTCCAGATGGTCATTTGTGGAAAGAAGCCATCAAAAGTGAAATCGATTCCATTCTACAGAATCATACCTGGGAGTTAGTAGATCTTCCACCGGGATGTAAGCCTTTGGGCTACAAGTGGATCTTCAAGAAGAACTTTGGTACTTATTTTCCTGTGTCGAGAATAACTTCTATCTGGATGATAATTGCTATTGCGGCCTTGCGAAATCTGGAAATACATTAGATGGATGTAAAAACAGCTTTCTTAAATGGAGATTTGAATGAAGAAATCTACATGGAGCAACCAGAGGGGTTTACAACTCTAGGTCAAGAAAGGAAAGTTTGTAAACTGGTTAAATTGCTGTATGGTTCGAAGCAAGCATCGAAGTAATGGCATGAGAAGTTTGATAATGCTATGCTTTCTAGTGGTTTTAGAATCAACGAGTGCGACAAGTGTGTATATGTCAAGGACATTAATGATGGATATGTCATACTATGTCTATACGTCGACGACATGCTCATTGTCTGTAGCTCTGACAAGATTATCAAAGCCACTAAGAATATGTTAAACTCGAGGTTTGACATGAAAGATATGGGTCTCACGGATGTCATTTTGGGAGTAAAAATTACTCGAACACCTAATGGACTTGTGTTATCTCAATCTCATTACATTGATAAGATACTAGACAAGTTCAACAAGTCAGATACCACTGTGGCCAGGACTCCAGTGGATTTGAGTCTCCACTTATCCAAGAACACTAGTGATGGTGTATCACAGTTAGAAAATTCTTGGATAATTGAAAGTTTAATGTAATTAATGACTTGTACGAGATAGGATTTAGCATACTCAGTTAGCAGATTGAGTCGCTACACGAGTAACCTAGGTGTTGTCCATTGGAAAGCCATTTTTAGGGTGCTACATTATTTAAGGCATACTTGTGATTTTGGACTGCACTATTCTAGATACCCTGCAGTAATCGAAGGGTATACTGATGTAAACTGGATATCGGATATGTCAGATACCAAGTCTACTAGTGGATATGTCTTCACTCTTGGTGGTACAGCTGTCTCTTGAAAATCGTCCAAACAAACTTGCATCGCAAGATCTACAATGGTATCAGAGTTCATCGCTTTAGACAAAGCAACTGAAGAAGCAGAGTGACTTCGCCAATTTGTTGAGGATATTCCAAGATGGTCAAAGTCTGTACCTGCGATTTGTGTTTATTGCGATAATCAATCAACAATTGGCAGGGCACAGAGCAATATGTATAATGGTAAGTCTCTCCATATTCGAAGACGACACAATACCATTCGACAACTACTCTCATAAGGTATTATCACTCTGGACTACGTGAAGTCAAAGGATAATATTGCGGATCCACTAACCAAAGGGCTAACTCGAGAGCTAGTTGTAAAAGTATCGAAGGGAATGGGCTTGCAGCCTATGACGTTGAAAGGTATCATGGTGGAAACCCAACCTAGCTGAATGGAGATCCCAGGATCTAGGTTCAAAGGGACAACTAAAACATGTATATCCGTGTAAATCACTGAGAATGTTCTCCTTCTGCTCATTCCTATGGTGCTCACAGTGATTGGAAGATGCAGGTTATACTATGCTTTTAATGACCATTAGGCGTTGTTGTGAAAAATTGAGTTAAGAGGTCACCTATGTGAGTGTGAAGTGGGGCCGCTTCTATAAAGATTGGCAAGGCTACATCCTTGAAAAAACACTTGCAGAACCAGACGACGTGTTCATGGCCAAAATGAACACAACAATAAGAACTATGTTGTGACTAGAATGGTCTTGTGTGAGATCTATTGTCTTGGTTTACACAAATGACGAAACAGTTCAAGGTATCAGGTCCACTGGTTTGCTAGTAATTCCCGATAGGTTTCACAAGGGAAGGTTCAAAGCGAAATGCTACATATCCTATGCAGGATTGATTCATTTTACTCTCTCTTTCCTCTTGAGTCTTAGGTTCCATTTTTCATTCATGTGGAGGATTGTTAGAATTGAATGAAAAATATTAAGTTAGAATTGAATGAAAAATATTGAATAGAAGTAATGAAAAATATTGAATAGAAGTCTCTTCATATGTTGTAACTTAAGTAACTCAAATCTCTTCATGTTTTTAACTCCTTTATCAATGAATGGTTTAACTCCTTGATTAATGAGCTAACTTTTCCTCCATTGGTATAAATAGGAGTCTCTCTAGGTTGGAAAATCACAAGTGAAATGCAAGATTCTTCCTCTAAACAACAATCTTCTTTTTCCCACTGTCAAGTTCTTCCTTGTGCTTATAATTTCTTTGTGAGATAAAGTATATCACAGCTAGTTCGCAGGCGATTAACACAGTGCAGCGTAAATCGACAACCGATTGTATCCTAGAAATCGAACACCGATCAAAACTTCTTGCACTCCGGTGAGGCGGCGAATTCGATTTAAGGAAATTATGAATACACAGGCTTTCGGTTTGATTTGATTCTCTAATATTTACTTACAGTAAGCACACAAAACAATCAAACTTTCAGTAGACGAGAATATAACAACTAACAACCAAATCCAATCAGATTCAGATTTCAGGGTTAAATTTAATTTAATTTAAATATGAAGCTACAACAATGGGATAGCAAATTAGCAAGTAGCAACAATCCTATTCCACATAATAATAGCAACAACCCTTCTCCAGTTTTCCTTACGAGCATTTTGACTAAGTTTAGGCCTTTACCCATAGACGAGATAACAACTACCAAGCAATGGGATTGTGGTCGAAAATATTTCTCAAATCTCAAATTCAATTATGCAAATGAATTTTAGAATAAAAACATGTAAAATCAAACAAGCAGGGTGTTGATTTGTTACCTAAATGGAAGAAAAATAACAAAATTTGCACAAAAGGAGCAAAATCCGAAAATATGAATGGCTCCCTAGAAGATTATTCTCTCTAGGGCATGGGATGTAGGGCAAACCTTAAACTGTTGATGAGTTTGAAATGATTTTACGTGGAGGAATGGATTTGGAGTTGGACAAGTGAAGAAAACTTAATAAATGGGCTTTGTGCAAATGGGCTTCACAATCATAGATGGACAACAGGCAATAACTCAATGTTATCTTTCATTGGGCTTGGGACAATGTTTGGATAACTTAAAAAATAAAAAAAATAAAAAATCTGCGGGGTCAATTGACCCCACATGACCCCATGTGGGTCCATCCCTGTTCACTTACCAGGCTGCTGTTGAGATTAGGTGTGAACCATGAGTACACAAAAATGTTCATCGAAACTTACAGCATCCTTCTAAATCAAAGAATTCTCAACTACAATTTCTTTAATAGTTGCATCTCTCATTATAATGGCTCTGATAATTTATACAGAAAAATGGAAAGCAAAGCCCACATAATTAGCACTAAAACAGGACGCATTCATTAAGCCAGCCATAATTGCATGAAAATTCAAAACTCAACTTGCCTCTTCATCTATGGCCTTCCAACAAAAGGATGGGCATAAAAGAAATTTAAATTTCTGAACATTTTGATATTACACCACATCTAATTAAATTGAAAAAACTTTCCCAAAAATGTTAAAAGCCACAGAGGAATGATTGAATATACAAACAGAAGAAAGACAATAATAAATACTTCAAAGGGAACACTACAGTGTCGTCCGGACAGAAATGACGGCAAAATAACATCGTTTTCTTCACACAACATGCGAAAAAACATGTATATATAATATAGAATTACGTGAAAATGGGAAAAACACTAATCATAGTTACGATGAGGTAAAATGGAACAAAAACTCTACATATTAAAAGTAGTTGTATACTTACAAACATTACTCTTTAATAATAATCTATCTATTTTAAAACATCTAGGAAGAATTCAATTCATAAGGTCCAAGTGAAAATGCAAAAACGTTGGAACTAGATTTTTTATCATAAAAAATGTATAGATACTGCTAGAAATCAAATAATTGTGCATAAAACAGGTATTAAATAATAATGATATTACGAAGCCTCTCCACCTTCATATTTAAATTAAACCAAAATAACAGAAAAATTAAAAAATACGATCCACCAACATAGGAGAGTGCGCAACAAGTCCAACTCTTAGCCCTAGCTATAATACGATCCACCAACACCTTACAATCTGAAGCCCGCAATTTAGTAGAGATAAGTGGAACACCAAGATAACGTACCGGTAGCACACCCTCCTTATACCCCATAATATCAAGTAACTGATCCTTCAGATATGATGAAACAACACTAGCAAATACATTACTCTTATCAAGGTTAGGAACAAGGCCAGAAAGAGCTTTGAATCGATTGAGGCATTCCCCAATGAGAGATACAGAACCAACCTCAGCTCTACAAAAGACCATAAGATCATCAGCAAAACACAAGTTGGTGATATTCTCCTTCTCACATCTCCAGTGGTACTTAAAATCTTGCTGAGTAACCATCAACCCCATTAATCCTGAAAAAACCTCCATTGCCAAGACAAATAAATAGGGCGACATAGGATCTTCTTGTCTCAAACCTCTCCCACCAGCAAAAAAAACCATGCAACTCACCATTAATGGAAATCGAAAATCCAGTGGTAGTGACACATTCAGAAATCTACATAATAACCTTCTCCAGAAACCCAAGCACCCTTAAAATCATAAAAAGAAAATCCCAACGAACAGAATCATAGGCTTTCATGAGATCAACTTTAAGGGCACATCTAGGCAATCCTCCACTGCGATGATAATTCCTCAACAACTCTTGGGAAAGATATATATTATCGCTAATATGTCTTCCCTTAACAAAAGCAGTTTGTTGAGATCCAACAATATCTGTAAGCACCATCTTGACTCTATTAGAAATAAGCTTAGCAATACATTTATAAATAGTATTGTAATAAGAGATAGGCCGAAAATCTTTTACCTAAGAAGGATTTGGAACCTTAGGGACCAAAGCAATGGTAGTAGCATTAACTTGCTTCAATAGCTGCCCCGAGTCAAAGAAGGACTTGATGGCACATAGAACATTGTTCCTCACAATACTCCAAGTTCTCTTGAAGAAACCTGCATTAAAACCATCTAGTCCCATAGCCTTGTTATCTTTCAAAGAGAACAAAACCTCCTTAATCTTCTCATATGACACATCTCTAATAAAGGTTTCTTTCTGCACCGCTGAGATACTTTTAGGAAGAGCTCTTCGAAGCAAGTCCATAGCTAGACTCTTACCATTAGGCTGCTGTCTAAGGAGATTTTGATAGAATTCAACAATAACTTTACTAACCTCATGCGGCTCCTCCACTTTAGTACCGTCATCTCTACAAATGGAGACAACCTTGTTCTTGCCATAGTGACTTTTCATAGCCTTGAAGAAGAAAGCAGTACTCTGGTCTCCTAAATTCAACCACTTAATACGAGCATTTTGTCTCAAAAAACCTTTCTCAGCCTTATTCAACTTGCAAATTCCCATATTAACCAAGCCTCCTTTATATGTAAAGATGGATCCAGAGGCGACTGCTGAATCAAATACTGAACATGCTCTAGATCAGACCGAGCTTGAGTTACTCTCCTAGGTAGATCTGAAAAATGCTCCTTATTAAAATATTTCAAGGCAAGCTTCAGCCTTCTCAATTTTGAACACAGACAAAACATAGAAGTACCCACGACCGCTTCACCCCAAACTTGAGCCACCAAAGGAAGGAAATCCGGGTGATCTATCCAATAATCAAAGAAGCGGAATGGAATTTTCCTACGCAGTAGCTCTGCAAGTTTCACAACCATAGGAGAATGATCCGACACACAAGTAGTAAGAAAAGTAGCTGCCGATCCCTGAAACTCGTCCTCCCATTTAGAATTCACCAATACACGATCTAATTTCTTGAGAATAGGACTAGATACATGCTTATTAGACCATGTATATAAACAACCATCAAACTTCAAATCATCCACACCCATTGTTGTCATGTAATTTCCAAGATCATCTTACCATGCAGGCCAAGAAGAAGAGCCACCTTCCACTTCGGAAGGGGAAGTCCCCCATGATCACCCATGGCAAATATGCAAAACCTCCATGCCTAGCTACTAAATCAGCCCATAGATCAACACGCTTAACTAGGATATTATCCCCATACACCACTGACACCACACAACTCCATTTACCATTACATGTATTAACACGAACATGAATAGCTTAAGCAGAGCAACCCACCAGCAAAACATCTACATCATTTGGATTCAAACATATCCAGATTCTACCAAGCGGAGAACAATTGTAATTCGTAAGGACACTCCAAGACTTGAAAATGGCATTCGCCGCCTTATTTTGATTCTTCTCCTTAACCTTAGTTTTCACCACCCCACACAAAGAAAGCCTATTGGAAGCAATGAGGTTCTTTACTTCAGATTGTTTAAGGGGGTCATTTAACCCTCTGATATTCCAGCATCCAAAAAACATGATTAAAGTTAAGGAGAGAATCGCAACCTCAATATGGCTAACACCATCTACCTCTCCTAGGGGAGTGATGCTTCTTGCCCTTTTTATGCTTGTCCCCCGACCCATTCTTCTTTTTCTAAAGTGAATCTCTAGCTTTTGTTGCCAACGTGTTGGACAGAGTTACGAAAGTATCACTATTATCTTCACCTAGAATGGCAAGTGGACCTGGAGAAATCTCTTCTTCTTCCCCACTTTCAGTAGTCTCATTAGGCACATTCGACACCACCATCTGCAAATCAGGATCAACAAGTGAAGATGACTTAACAATTTCTCCATGAGCCAGCTTGGCAACCACCAAATGCTTTTCAAGATCACTATGTGAAGGCTGCAGATCAACCTCTCTTTGATCCTCCTTAGAATTATCTGCCAAAGTATGAATAGGCATAGCAACACCAGAATCAACACAACATGTAGACTTCCTCTTATGTGAGACATGGGTCCATTCATCCTCATTAGCTACACCACTCGGGCCAACCTTATCCTTAGCAACCCAAACAAGCTTACCCTTACTCTCACTAGGCTTAGTTTGAAAAGAGCAATTATGACCAGATGCCCCACATTCCGAACATTTAATGGGAACCCATTCAAACGAGCACAAATAGTTATCCAATCCCCATTCACACAACGGAAGTCAAAATCCTCCACTAACTCCTCCAAAGCATTATTCTCAACACAAACACGTGCATAGCTAAGACGTTTACGTGCAAGAGTGATCGCATTTGCCCGTAGAAGACGTCCCACAACACTAGCTACATGACTCAATACCTCTGCCATCCAGTACTCAAAAGGAATATTATAAAGTTTCACCCAAACAGGAATGCAATGTAAATTATCCTTAGTCAGAGTCATATTAGGGTGCCAACGCTTCAAAATAAGTGGCCTACTAGCCATACTCCAAGGTGCTCCTTCAAGAACTAATAGAGCTTGGTGGAGAGAATCAAACTTGAAAAAATAGAAACCAGCATCTGAGGATAAAACCTCCTTAAGGCCAAATCTATCCCACAGTTTATGAGCAATAGAATTCACTATAGGAAAAGCTAATTTTTTGCCAACAAAGGAACCAACCAAAGTCATCCTCCACATTTCACAACCCAAGGTAGCCACCTCTACAGGCAGAACCATCTTCACTCGACCATTATCACACTGAGGCTTAACATAATTTAATTCCAGAGGACATGAATCTAAGTCTACGTCATTTACTTGAGACCCATTTAACACCTTAGCACATGTTTTTGGTTTCAATTGTCCCAATTCACCCTCAATTGAATAATTGGGTGTTGAATTATCCACTTGCAAGACATGAGGATCACCAATTGAATCAGCATTATCACACAATCCCGTCTGGAAAGTACCTGCGTTCTGAACATTGAGAATCTTGGCTGAATTAGTTGATAATACTCCATAAGAGTCGTCGGCTAGGGGAGTGGAGATATTTGGTGGATGATTTGAAGAATGGGTGTGGCCGGAAATATGGGCGGCGCTTGGGAGGTCGACCGCGGTTTGGATGGAGGCCATGGCTATTTTGAGTGGCGTGAGGCCAGGTGAGATGGGGGGAGTGAAGTGGAGGGCTTGCCGTCGCCTATGGTGGTGGCGACTGGCAGCTTGGGTTGTGGGGGAGGGTTGTTTTGTGGTAAGGGTGGGTGGTTTTTGAAGATTGGGGCTGTTTCCGGCAAAATTTTGGGCGGGCGTTGGTGGGAGGTTGTAGAAGGCGGTGAGAGGATTCCGGTGGTGGGTGAGTCCAGTGGCTTGGGCGGCGGGTGGTGATGGTTGTTGATTGGAGGTGGCGGCGGCTCACCCATGGAGTAGAGAGAAAAGGGCTTAGCTGTTTGCTCCACTCAACGCTTCTAATGAAACAGAGAAGGCATTCCTCCCAGATGTTCAACTTGCTACCAGTCATTTCCTGTTGTTGAAATTACTTTAAAGGCATTGAATAACTCCTCCAGTATTTTTTTTTTTTTTTTACTTGACTCTTGCCTTCAGAAGTTTTATAAACTTTCTTCTTTGTGCAGAAAGCATTATTTCCTATTGTATTAGGCCCCTATTTACTTGACTTTCGTTTTTTGTGATAATTCCTTTGTGTTAGTTATAAAATTGATTAGTTTATGTTAGGTCTTTTGGACATTCATAATAAGCACATTGTTGTTATTGTTACTATTGTAATATTATGGTAAATGATTGATGTTTTTGTAAAACTTATTATGTTAGTGATTTCGCTTCTTCAAAACTTGGAAAATTTGTTGAGCTGATTGCTGACCTAACAAAGCTAAAGCTTGTATTCATGAACGACAGTTTAACCACTGTCGGTAAACTTATTGTCGTTTCAAATTTTGTCCCTAAAATGTTTATTAATTATGCTGCTATAATTGACTGCAACTCTAGAGAGATTTTCATGGTCTGTTTTCATTTACATTGTGATATGTTCGTTACATCTATTCACTTTGAAATTACTAGCATATAACAAAAGCTTACGTCTTCCCTTTTGATGTTTTCAAGTAAAAGATGATTATTTACACCAACTAGCATGTTAAAATTCTTTTCTTTTTGGCCAGAAAGGCTTTTAAATGTTCCGAGTAATAATTATTGTGCAAGGATATAAGTAAGATACCCTTTGAAGAGCAATATATAATCTGGTGCCGAAGTTAAGTCGTTTCCACTTGCACAGCATCACATCTGCAAGCACCTTATTTTGACTATATTTTCAGTTAACTAACTATTTTTTGATGTTCTATCAGGCACTTCTCAAGTAAGCAAAAATTAGATGTGAAAGAACTAAGTTGAAAGTGATCGATATGGTAAATTTTTATGATCGTTTTCCATTTCAAAGGAGATATTGTGGTCCAGTATTACGCCTATTACTCTTGTGCACATACTTCGAATTGAATTCCTTTCCAAATCATATTTTAATGTCATATGGCTTTATGTAGTGAGGTAATCAATATTGCTGTATAAGAGGTTTTTTCTATGTTTTTAATAAAATTAATTGTGTGCAG